AATTAATAAAAAAAAATTAAAAACATTGATCTGCATATATTCTGTATTGATGATATATATAAATGCAATCTTAGAATTCTTTTTAAATTCTGAACCTTATAGTAAATGCCATAAACAGCAAATGTGGTCCTTATAGTGTGAATACGCAACGCTTAATGAACTATAACACTTTTAACAATATCTCTAACTGCTACTACTGAGTACCGGAAGATTTTACTTAACATTTTAATGCCATCAGTGCAATTTAAATACCTATAATATGCTTCCTGTATTAATCATGTTTAAATGTCAATTAATCATGTTTAAAATACAGTGAGAATATATCAGTGATTACATATGTCATATACTTTTATGAATGATACTGAAAGTAGACTGTGTATTTTTAAATAAATAACTTTTTCTAAATACAAAAGCTTTTTCTGGTTTCAAAGTCGACAAATGATAAAATTGATGGACTAAATTAAATAATCACCTAACAAATTAAGGAATCCAATTCTACTCAGACTGCAGATACTGTAGAGAAAGATAGAGAAACCGTATACCATGTGCTAGGGAGTCCCCGGCACTGATGCGCAAGCGCAAACACCTAGGAAGGTATTTCATGGAGCAAAGGGTTTCTAGACTAAGAAAGATAGGCTCTATACTGTCTTTTATTAAAGAAATCGGACTTAAAAAAACACTCTAATCCGACTAAGGGGCACAATAGATCTTTTAGGTCACAATTTATTATCCCCTTTTCATAATAATGATAATAATTAAATTGCTTACTTCTATAATGTTAATTTAGAATACTAAATATATTGTTTATTTTTCTCTTACACTTTCAACAATAATTGAAGGCCAGCATATATATATATTTGTATACAAAAAATGTGTTTATAAGATATAATTTTTTCCATATTATGGTTAAACCATAAATAATAAATTATTGTGGGAGAAGAATAATTTTAATGTGTTAAAAAGTGTTTTAATGAGAAACAAAAACAAAAATAAAAAATATATTATATATATTATTATTATTGTGTATATTCATTTGTATGTTTATGAGCTTTATTTTTATGTGGTAAAATTGTTTATTAAATATATTACCTTTTGTTTTCTGTAATTTTTACTTTATAATAAATATTTCTATTGTTCGCTGATGTTATCTGATTTTATAAAAAATGTTCCAAATCCTTGTTAAAAAACAAACCCTTTGTGGTTAATAAAAAACTTAAAAATAGTTAACAGCCACTAACTTTAAAAATAAATATAAATAAAAATTAAATTCTCATTAATCAAACAATACCTGCTATAGCCTTAAGTAATGGAGCATAAAAATATTATAAAATTTTTTTTCAATACATATTATTCATCAAATGCTCAATTACAAAATAAACCGCAAAATATGGAATTTCAACCAATTTTTTCCATGCTTTTTAATTTTTTACACAAATTTTTAAAATTATTTATGTATTTGCTATAAAATATGCACATTAAAGAAAAAAAAAATGATAAATAAATCTTTTGTTTAATATTAATAGCTATAAAAATACCAAGTGCAATTAGGAATGATGAAATAAATATACTGAATTTTTATAACAGCTTAATTTTTCATCTTCATAAATTTTTCATATGATTTTAGAGATATAGTTTCTGATGGTAAAAATACCGTGACATTCAAGTATTACTTTGTTTGTTACAAACTATTAGACTTTACAAAATATTCTAAGTGTAAAAGTAGTTTACAGTTAACGTCCAGAGTGCTATATGCGAAGACTCTCTAGATCTGAGTTGTACGCTGTTCCACATAATTTTAATCTAAACGTCCAGAGTGATATCTTTGAAGAATCTCTAAATTTTAATTGCTGTCTGTTCCACATAGTTGTAATCTAAACGTTCAGTATAATATCTTTAAAGAATTTCTAGATCTGAGTTGTTGGGTGTTCCGCATTGTTGTAATTTAAATGCCAATTAATATACAATAAGTATTGCTTCATAAACAATTTTATTATATTTTCAATGCCGAAAGGTGAATTATTGGAGAATAGTTTAAGTATTGTTTTATGAACAATTTTGTTAACGTTAATGTCGCCAACACATTAACCTAATCTTTAGTTTTGCTTTTTTTTTACTTGAACATGGATGTTCGAAGTCAGCCTTATTACTAAATATAAACCAATATAACTAGACTTTAATTTAGTGGAGAAAATTTGAAATTTTAATATATAACAATAATAGCAAAAATATTCTTCCATACATTCATAATATTCCCAAAACTTCTGCAATATAATCAAATTAGAATGAGAACTTCAAAAAGTTACAGGATTCATTTAAAAAGGTCAACAACTGTTGACAGCTAAACTTTTATAATTAACTTAATTAAAAACACTTGAAGTCTAAACTGTTTTTGGTTGTTTAGGCACATTGATGGCTGTTTCCTTTCATTAAAACCACTCAGGATATAAGGCAGCCATAGCATTTATAACTGCCGCATTTGATACCTCATGTTGTAGGAAATTATACTAGAGCACACAGAAAAATAAAACAAAAAAGCATAATAATACTTAATTAACTTCAATATTCAACAAAATGTAATTAAAAAGAACAGCAACAACAACAATGGGAACTATAACAACAGCAACAGCAACAGGAACAGGAACTGAAACAACAGACATAAAATAAACTGCAGTTACAAAATGGCGAAAACTTGAAGTTAATTGATGCCATACAATTTTGGATATGAGCTCAGTTAGGAAAAATGGCTCAAATTAAATACTAAAATGTCAAACTTTTGACTGCTCTCAACAATTTGAGCTGTTGACGAAATTTAATTTAATTAAATGTTAGATTTAATCTCATTAGAAAGAAATGAAATAAATTTGTTGGAAATTTGTGAATAACAGGAAGAAAATAATGTAATTAAATTTAAATAAAAATAAATAGAATTAAATTGCGCTTAGATGAATAATGAAGTATACGTATTATTATTGAAAAGAAGGGATAGTGCACTGCGACCTAAAAGATCTATTGTGGTTTTTAGTCGGATTAGAGTGTTGCTCCAAGTCAGATTTCTTTAATGAAAGACAGTGTAGTGGCTATCTTGTATAGACTTGAATCTTTATGAATCATAAAATACTCTCCTAGGTGTTTCTTCTGCTTGTGCAACACGCGTGGACCTTTTTCACTGAGCAAACTTTCTACAATAAAATTCTTATTTTATATATATTTTTAGTATTAATACTAAACTATTATTTCATAGAACAAATATTACAAGTGAAAAAAAAAACTTCTATAGTATAGTATTATCAGTCCTTAAACAAACAAAATTAAATTTTTAAACAAATAAATATTTGCACATAATTTAATTAAATATTTAAATATTTAATAATTTATTTACATACTGTTTAAGTCATAGCTGAAAATAAGTCATTCGTTAATTGACTAAGAATGCATTTCTACAAACAAACCACACTCTACATTGTATCCTTTTATACTCTACCTAAGGATATCTCCTTTATATAAATTCAAATAAATCTTTCAGCTATTTGTTCAATAGCAGTTAAATGACCGCATTTATGAAATATTGGTTGAGTTTCAAAATATAATTAAACATTTGAAATATTTACAAACCAAACCACGATTATTATTTTAAACAAAACTGACAATTACCTCAACGAAGAATAATTATAATATCTGATGTATAAATTATTCAAAGGAAATAAAATATTTAATATGAATTTGTACGTAATTATGAAGTACGAAGATATGAAAACAATTAAATGAATAAAATATTTAATTCCTTTTTTATGATTAATGATATATAAAATATGTTTAAATTACTTTTAAAGAAATTCTTGAAAGTATAAAGCTTTTAGATTCGGAATTCAATTAAAAGTGTATTAAAAAAAAATATTAGTTAATCTGCAAGTAATATTACTTCATCTTAATGTAAATGGATTAATGGTTGTATTAAAAGGCAATAAAGTTTAAGAAACTAATTTTAAATAAAAAATCTTTTACATAGTACTAATATGTAAATATTTTCTGATAAGCTTAATAAAACAATTAAACAAATTTCCTATAGCAAAACAAATTTACAATATTGTTGAGCTTTAAATTTGTATAAAAATGCATACAAAGGAAGACTAACCGCAAGTTAAATTTCAAGTTAAATAACTATATAAAAAAATGAACTATATATAGATAATAAACTTTTTTTAATTATAGAATTATAAATTCTTAAAAAATTCAGATCTCTTCAACCTCTTTGCAAAGAAGCTAGCATATCATACATGTTGAACACAAACTTACGGTTCAACCCGCTGACTCTACTTTAATCAAATAATCAATTATATCTTTAATAGTTTTTATAAACAACAGCTAAATAATTTTTTTAATAATTTAATTAATAATTTAAGAATATAAATAAACTATATGCTAATAAGATTGGGGACTTTTTTATTGGTGCTGGCGTAACGTAACTGACACATACATATAGTTTCTTACTCACCGCGATTAACACTTAAACTTGATCTAACCTGACCTAGGCACGTACAAAAATTTATATTGAACAAATTTAATAATTTTTGTTGTTGTCTTTCCTTTACTATTCCAATACTTCTAACTTTTAAAAATAACTCCTTTGTCGTCATAAAAAGCGTAGCTTATGGCAAAAATAATGAACTTTAACAAATTTATATACAGTTTATTGTAAAAATAGAACATAATATTAATAAATAACTATAATAAATGCTAAGAACTAATAATATTTTTAAATAATTTAAAATATTAATATATCATATATTTACATTAATTAATTAATAATTATAAAAATAATAAAAAAATTGTATATTATAAATAAATATTAAAATAAATGTATTTTTGTTTAATGCCATGTATGATAAATATTCTTATATGTTATATTAAATATTAATGTATTTTATTAATATCGAAATTATTTTTATATATTTTAGGCGCCGTAGGTGGTGATGGCGGTGACGATGCCGACGATAAGGAAAAGGCAGAGGAGGAGGAGAGAGAGCGTCAGGAGGCCATACGCGAGGCTGAAGAACGACGAAAGGAGAAGCACCGTAAAATGGAAGAGGAGCGTGAAAAGATGAGGCAGGAAATTCGTGATAAGGTAATATTTAAATAAATATTGTTTAATAGGCTTAATAATAATAGCTGTGTATGGAAGATAACTGATAAGAATGATAAGGTGCTTTTCAAAAGCTACATTTATGCACTAAAACGGCTTCTTTCTGTAATTGAAGAAGATTCAAACCTACGTCCACTTCACCTACCTACCTATCTTATTAATAATAGGTATTTGTAGTGTCTGTAAGATAATTTCTTGACTATTATAATAGCAAAATTTCTAACGTTATAGCAAATTTGTAATATATTGTGTACCTGTTAAATATAGTACTATATTTTTCCTAGGACTTTACGTTTATATCAGAAAGTCTGTGTCGGTGAGAGTTTTCAAGACGAATCTTAACCTTAATATGAATTTTGTTCTTAAAATATTTTTTGTTTTTAAGATAAATTTTGTTTCTTAATAGGAATTTTATTCTTGAAATGAATTTTGTTCTTATGATGAATTTCTTTCTTAAAATGAATTCTGTTCTTAAAATGAATTTTGTTCTAAGTTTAATTAAGATGAATTTTGTTTTTAAATTATATTTTGTTCTTAAGATGAATTTTGTTTTTATGATGAATTATGTTCTTAAAATGACTTTTGTTCTTATGGTGGGTTTTGTTCTTAAGATAAATTTTATTTTTAAGATGAATTTTGTTTTTAAGATGAATTTTCTTCTTAAGAAGAATTTTGTTGTTAAGTTGTTTTTTTTTTTTAAGATAAATTTTGTTCTTAAAATGAACTTTGTTCTCAAGATTATATATACATATCTGAATACTTACCCAATGTTAAACCTTTTTAGTATACAAACTTCATATTTAGAAGTGAAAATGAGTGTAATTAGGGTCTTGTATCTAGCTACATTATGCTTGGAAAAATTTTGAACTTAAGCACAATTAAGTGCATTCCAGTAGTTGCCTGCATTTACTTTCACCTATTATTTAAAAGCAATTAATATCTATTATAAACATATATTAATTTCTTAGATTACTAGAAGTAATCACTTATTTTGTTTACTTATTCCGATTTGTTCTGAGTTGAACTTTATAATATAACATGAACCCTAATATATATGTGATGTTCGCCATTATGAAACCTTATTCCTTTCTATAATTTATATGGAATAAAATAAATATATCATCTAATATTATGTATTAAAGTCTTGTATTTTATTACAAATTACTTTTAAACGGTAATTATTAATGAAAGGATATTTGCTCGTCATTTAAATTTTTAATGACTACTTATTTATTTTTTGAGATTATTAAAATGTTGAAGTGTCCTTGCACGATTAATTATTGGAAAAATCTTTTCAGTTTATTTTACACAGACCACTTATAAAATTTATACAATTGCATATATGTGAAGAGATTAAAGTTTTTTAAAATAAATTTTATTTATCCTCTACAAGAATGGATAAAGGCATATTTTCATTAATAAAGTTATTCAACAAAAATTATTTAAAAAATGTATGCGTTATTATTGATGATACCTATTATGTTGACAATATATGACTCCATAATGAATACATAATGTATATGATATAAATGCCGCAAGCCTTCTACAATAACGGAAAAGTATATATGAAACTCTTTAACTTTTATTAATGCAAAGAGCAAAGAAATCCTTGCAAGCAGTCATTTTCATTTTCATTGTCCTTGTCATTGAGCATTTTTTCATTGGTTGGCAAGCTTTTAACCAAAATCGTGTCGGAAATGCCGTTGTTTATCAATAAAATTACAAGCAAAAATATTTTTTCACTCGAATTGCATAAATTCCCATTTCGGGCATATCGTTGAGTGTTTTTTATTGAATTTTCGGTATTTAAATTAAAAACATAAAATTCCAAATTACCGAAACAGAGACGAAATTTTATTATGCACATATTTTACATAGTTTTTCATCTCGACTTACAACTGAGTGGGGAAGTGACTTGTATATATTTCTGTTTTTATATGCGTATCTGCGTATCTGTGCGTACGTGCGAGGACTACATGTGAAGAGTCACAGTGTAAAGGGAAAAATGTCAAACGATTCATGAAAACTTTTCCATTAAAAACTTTGTAGATATTTTATATTGTTTTTCATTGTTTTACGAGAATGATTTCCTTTCTTTTTATTTTTGTTATTTATTTTATTTTTTTTTTATTTTTGTAAGTATTTTTTTTTCATCGCATATAGTTTGTTTTATTTCTGTTATTTTTGCTGTAACAGTTTTGTTATAAATTTTTATTTAATTTTTTTTTTTTAAACTACAAGAGTTTTTTATCTTTATTCTGTCCTGACTTGTATGCCGAGCTTTAATATGAGAATTTGTATTCGAGTATGAACTGAAAACTTTCAAACTTGCAACGATTATTTACATGCAAAAAGTTGCATGAAAAATTCGTATCATGTTTTATGTTGCCAGTATCTTTCGTTGTCATGAAAAATGGACAAAGCAAAAAGTAATCTAAAAGATGTAAAAAATACAAAAGACAAAAATGTTCACAATAAGCAATTTTCAGTATGCAGAATTTCGCATGCACGTACTTCTTGTTTACATGGCAAACAGGGTGTTTACATTTTAAAGTAGCAGTTTTCGAAGTACAAAAACATGTGTCCTTAGTCAGATTGTTTTATTCTTAAGCTAACATTCGTAACTTTAACGTAAACTACAAGTTTTAAATAAGTGAACTTTAGTTTGAAGACTAGTCCATATTAGAAAGAAGTGTCCTTAGTGCATAAAGATATGGTACAAATTTTAATCATTTTTAATATATCTGTAGTTGTCGTGAATTGCAAGCTGTTATCGTTATTTGTATGTTCTTTGTTTCGATTTGTTGAAATCACCTTAAGATATGGATACAAAACAGTAGTATTTTTCTTAGTTCAGAGATCTCACGACATTATTCTGTACTATTACAAATAAAGAACTTGTCTGAACACAATTTCTTATGAAAAGTTATATATTTTATACAGTTGATAAGTATTAAAATAATTATCAGTAACAGTTTTAATATCAGTAATATTTTTTATGGCAACATATATAAGAGTTTCACATTTTCCACATATTGTTTTTTTCAAATCCTTTGTTATTTGTTTAAACTCTTTATTATTTTATTTCTGAAGTGCTAACACATAAATAAATTTAACTCAATCCTTCTGGAGTTCAAATTGACTCTAGTAGGGAGTCCTTTTAATGAGCGACTCCCTAACGGAGTCAGATTGAATTACTCTTGGGCTTAACAGCATACTGTGAATTAAACAAAAGTGTAGTTTAAAATTTTAAAACAGTTTAAGAGTTTATATTTAAAAGAAAGATAGTTTGAAAATAATATATTTTGAAAGTGAAACCAAGTTAATTTTAAAATTTAATAATAAAAAAATAAAATAATAGAATAATGTTTAATATAAATAGTGAAACTTAACAGTGTCATATACATTTTATTTAAGTACAGAGATTTTTAATATTATTATTGTTTCTATTATTTTTATTAACACTATTTTGAGTTTTTTTTTAATTTAAATTTTTTAATATTCAAAGTACACTTTTTTCGAATTTTTTGAAACTATGTTTAATATATTTACTTTCTCAATCTTTTACTATACTTATTTCTGGCAGTTATTTCCTTCTTTACTTCATTGTAAAGAATTTTTAAAAATTTGTCTTCATAGTGCATAATTCTAGCTCACTCCGAACAAGATCAAGAATCTTTTTTCGAAATGTTTTCTATTGAAGATACGACTTCCATTGGATTTATTAAATTCAATGATCCAAAATATGTTCCAAAATCTATATTTAAGTTTTTAAACATTTTTCACTATACACTAAACCTCTAACCACAACTAAATATAAAAGACTGTACATATCTTTCTTCAGCTAACTTCTTAAGCTCAAGGTTGCTTATTAATAAGCTAAATTGAATGAGCTTCAATATGATTTAAATTGTATTTTATGAAATTGAATGATCCAAAGTCGTCATTTCAATTGCTTTTCACTTATATATAAACACTATACCTACAGATATTTCTTTAGCTAACCTGCTAAACTCGAAATTGCTTTAAAATTTGCTAAATTAAACAAACTTCAAATACGTCTCCATTGAATTTTATAAAAATGAATGATCCAAAATATGATCCAAAGTCTACATTTCAATGCTAAATGCTTCTCATTTAATCAATATATATACCTTTCTTCTGCTAACTTCTTAAGTTCGAAGTTGCCTTTTAATAATCTAGATTAAATATGCTTGAATTAATTTTATAATTAATTGTTTGCCATATAATAAGTTGCTAACAGAAATTAACAACCTTAAGCTATGAAAGTACTTAGGATTTACCTAATTAACAGCATAAAAGTTAAATGAATAGCCACAAATATGCACATAAATACTTTAATCTTTACGTGCCGCAAGTGAGAATTCTATTAGGGCTTGAATCTATTAACCCAACAATAACTAACAAAAACAAGAAGAAGAATAGCACTGTGAGAGAGAATGAATAAAAGGCAAATAATTTGTTACATTTAGCCTTGGTAAACTAAAAACGTGGCGTATCTCACATAAAAGACAAGAAAAATAGCTAAAGTGTGTCGTGCCGCAAAATGTTGCCTACAACACTTACGCTTAAGAGGAAATCAATACGTTATTGAATTGCCGAGTTAAGCACCTGCACGTCTCACTTAGTTGCCTCATGCCACCAGCCAAACGGAAGGTATAAAAATAGTAGGAAAAAAATTCAGTACAAATATAAAAGTGAAATAAATGTTTATAAGCTTTCTAAAGAAGAGTGAAAATGAACGTGCTCACTGACGATGTTCAATGCCTTTCCTTTATTCTGCCAAATAAGCAAGAAATAATCGATTACTTATTATAGCTAAATTGAAGCTAAATTTAATCCTACACTCACTCACATGCTTTGCAATCTAAATATATTTACTATAATTTAGTGCATTCAATATCAATTTAATTGTTTTACGTATTGTCTTTAATAAAGTTAATTAAAAATAAATAAGCATTTCAATGTTTACATACTGTCTGCATAAAAATATCACTCATACGACGTGTGTTCCCATTCTATATGTTAATATGCTTAATTAGTATGCATTAGTATGTGTCAAGGGTTTTATGCCAAATTGGCTATGCTTCAACTTACTAATTACATTTGTCAATTAATTGCAATTGTGGTCAATGCCTATGGTAAAATGTGTAAATCGGAAACGGAAACCAATAAGGTCTGCCAATGACAATTATGCTAATTGTTATCATATGAATACGGAATTTAATGGATTAGAAGTATTTGAGAAAAGCTCGGAATGGGTAGATTTTATACAAGTAATAATTTAAGCTTATTAGAAATTTTAAAGTTAGTTTGGAATGAAAAATAGAATGAAATATTACGTTATTAATAGAATATAAGGAAAAGGGAAAATAATCTCAATATTACGAAGGTTATAGCTTGAGAATATATCTTTTATATGCTTTAAGTAATATAGCAATTCTTGTGAGATGTTTGAATTCTTAAAGAGAGATAAAAGATTTATTTAATTTATCCTTGTTGAAGTCATTTTAATAAAGGATATATTTCTTGAACTGAAAATAACAAAAAGAATAGTAGATGGAAATAATAAATAAGAAATATTTTAAGTTATGTATTTAATGAAGACTAGCAGCTAGTAGCCAAATAACTAACATTCGCAATCTTTCCCCGAAACGCTGAGCTCCTCTCAAAATCAGAAAAAACGATCTGTCTTTTTATTTTATTTTCTAAATAGACTTGTTCTGACAAAATAAAACACATATTTTTCGATACATTTCTTATAGAAAGAACGCTTAGATCTTCCATTTGCTCAAATCTTCTGTCAAAATTCTATACGCCAGACTTTTCGATATCCCAGTTTTCTTTTTACCGTGTGTCGCAGATACACAGTATCACCTCAATGTATGTTTCGAATGCTTTGTTCATTGTAAGTGATTCCTATTAGAATTGTTCCATCATTGCCTTTAAGGTCTACACTATCGCCACGAAACCAACGAAAAGACATTTGTTTCAGTATACTTTTTTAACATATCACATCTCATCTTTCGAGCCCTTTTGACTTAATTTAAGAATTTACTAACCAGTCTTTAGTCTTTATTGGTTTTACAACGTATGTCATATTACCATGCATGTTACATTACGTTAAATGTAATAATTTGAACTCTTGTCATCTATTATTGATGTTATTTTGTTGAAAATGTTTAAGGACCAAGCCTTATCAGAGCTGAATCGCCATGTTTATATTTAAATAATTAAATTAGATTTAACTAACTAGCTCATAAATGCCACCGTGCCCCTTTGACACGTTTTCAAAATTATATTGGTCAATTGGTTAATTTTAAAGTGCTTAATATTATTCGGAAGCACTTTAGTTCCGAACTTTATAACATTTTGAATAATAGAACCCATCAGTTTTCGTTAAAATACTTTGACTGTAATAAACAGATGGCTGACGAATAAATAGCAATGGTTAGAATATAAAAATAGAAATAGATAAATAGTAATAAATAGAAAAATACATATAAAATAAAGGGTTATAAACAAGAATTATTATACCTAATATATGATAATAGTAAATGTAAAACTAATATGTAGTATATACCACATCAAAGTGAAGACATACCTTGTTTTAAATAATATTTCGACAGAGATAAAATATGTAAGCAGAATAATCCTATTCGAGTAAATTTTAAATCAAATTAAATTTGAAGTGTAAGTCACTTTACAACAATAAGCACACAATCCTTCTTCAATGTCCTTTTCAGCCAAATTCTCTTCGTTGCTAATAAAATAAGAAGTACTCAACACAAAAACAAAGTAGTATCTACTTTTTCGGTTCGTAGTAAAATTACTACATAACTCGTGATGGAAACGAAAAAATCTATTGCTTCCACGAACACTAATCCCCAACTGAAATATTTTTTGACTGCTGCCAACTTCAAGTGTAATTCAATTTGTGAATCCAACGTGGCAGCCAAATACGCATACTAAATTTGAACAAAAAAAAAATTTATGAAATACAAAAACTATAATAAAAGCCAAGGACTTATGAAGCATCCATAAGAGCAGGAAATAAATTTTTGAGTTCATGAGAAGCAATTGAAGTTGACATAAATTAAATTCAGTGGTTGTCATGGTGCTAAGTGAATTTTTCGCATAAACTTATCTAAAAAAATAAAAAATATTTAAACCTTTTGTCTATTGAAAAAGTTTATGCAAACTAATAACTTTCTACTCTTGTTCTTCTTTTTATCTATTTTTCTATTATAGTATAATATCAAGAAAAAGGAGGAAATTGTTGAAGCCGCGCCGCAGGAGGAACCAAATCCATTGATGCGAAAGAAAAAGACTCCCGAAGAGTTGGCAGCTGAAGCTGAGCAAGAAGAGTTGGATGATTTTACAAGTAAGTTTAAAAATATTCCAATGTACTTTAATGCAAGTTTTTCTTTGCATTATTTTAACTAAACCTAACACTAATAATTTTGACTACTATTCTTTCATAAGTAATTTTGAAGTGTGTGCAGCAAAATGACTATTGTTTTTATTTTCGTTTGTAAATTTAACTATATATACTTAATTTTTTTGTTTTTTTTGGTAATAACATGCAAGAAACTATCGCTTGAACTAAAATACACTGCAAAAAATACTACGTAAAACTAACAAAAACTAATTTTCCGTCTATCTGTAAACGCTATCTCTACTACTATTTTAACTACAAATATCACTATTTCTACTATTAAAGCTACTATCTAAACAAATACAAAATACTACAAATTAATGCTAAAATTTCACAATTAATTCAGTGAAGCATTGAGTAATTTCAATGTTGACGAAACTTTATTTACTTTCCACGTTGGCATTAAAATAAATCAATGTAACTGAATTGGTTGAAATGTATTTCAAAGTAAAAGAGAACATAAAATAAAAGTAAGAAATAAGCTACAATAGTAAATGATTACGGTAATAAAGTCAGTCAGTACTGCAGCTAACAAAGTCGCGGTATTATTTTGTAGCTCAACTGTAACTATTTTGGATGTGTGTATCTCAGCATAACATCATCAGCTTCACAACAAGGATAACGAATATAAACACAAATGTATCTAGATTTGTTTGCGTAAACTCATTGTATTTTTGTATTTGTAGTGCAACTAACACAAACGTCTACTAACTTCAAACAGAAACTGTAAAACTTTAAATCTATATATGTGTGTGTGTATAACTTAAAACAAATTTTGCTATAATCATCATTTTAATTTCAGCATTTTAGTAATCATTTATTTTCTTTACAATAAATAAATTGTTTGCTAAATAATTTTTCATATATTAGTTTTTAACTTAAATTTTTCTTTGGTATGCACTTTAGTAGTTTTAGTAAGAAAAAATTGCCAAACTTTATAAAATAAGATAAAATTAAAATCTAAAATCTAAATCTAATCTAATTTAAAATCTATATTAAATTTAATATAATTATATGTATATATTAAATTTAATATTTAGTTTTTAATAGCGCACGAAATAAAATTTATGAAATCATGAACTAAAAAAACGTTCATAATTATTTTTTTAATAATAACATATATATATTTATATTAACATCATATCTTAACATGAGGCAGTTGCAGATAGTGTTAGGAATAGGAATAAACAAGATACCAATTCCCAACGAAACGGAGCACTGCGACCATGGTTGTTATTTTGTGCTGCAACAGACCCTAACCGAACAGAAGACATTCCGCATTCCGAATAAAAGATAGTGTTAGATTCTATATTACTTTTTGATATATTTTTGAACTTATTAATATACAAAATATGTTTAAGAAATACGCGATTACTGTTTGGCATGAAACATCAGGTTGCTTTCATAGTTAGGTTAAATTATAGTTGCTGTTTTTAGGATCTACTTAAGTTAATTAACTTATTGTGTTACCATTTTATTATATAAGGGACTTGAATCCGTTCAGAACCACTAATGAATGCTAATATACTACTAACGAAAACGTACTGCAGCTAATTAAAATTGTCTAGAAAATATGTTATGAGCATATTTAATCTATATTGCACATGCGCTGGATGGTGATAAAATTGGTATGCTACTTTTTTCGTCCTCTTAATAGCTGCGACAAGAATCACTAATAAAAATTATTAAATTTTAACGTATTATCCTAACCAACAATGATTCATAGTAAAACCTTTTATGAAACTGACAACTTTAAAAAATATGTCATTAAAAATATTTGATTTTATTTGTCATATTAGTTTATTTAAAACAATTCAGATATTTTATTTAATTTATATGTACACAAAGTCAACAAATTATGTTTTCAAATTTAAATTAATTTAAAAGGAATTACAACAAAATGACATTGATATACTATGCTTTACTCTACACATTATAGTTTATAATAGCAAAAATTATTACTATAAAACACTTCTCAAGTTAAACTTATCCTACTCATAGAATATATTGCCCACTGTTAAGCTTGAAGTTCAATTATCTCAATAACGTTATTCATCAAATACATAGAAACAGTCAATAAATTCAAATTTTGTTTGATATTTAACCAAAAAAGAAAGTTTTATTCGGTGTTTAAAATAAAACAAAACTTTTAACTATACCTTAAAGCTATAAATAAAGTATTCAAAGAATTCAATAAACGTTTCATATGTATAATTTCTTTTTTTTAAATTTTAATCAAATTCTTACTTATTCAAAAAATTTATTCAAAAAATTTATTCAAAAAATTTTTATAATTCTATGATCCGTAATATTCATCAATATTAAAATCAAATCGAAAGATATGTTTGCTGATATGTTATTTCACTGCAGATATTTGTTTTGATAACAACCTTTTGAGTATACAATTTGCAATAATAAAGTTATGCATTGCATATGACAAATCGGAAAATTTCAATAAAATTACGAAATATTTGTCAATCATTTTTTACTGTATAGAGCAACATTGATTTTTTAAGTTTTTTAAAATTAAAGAAAAATTTGATGCAGAAAATATCAGAAAATTTGATATTGAAAATACTTTTGTACTCTTGCTAACTAAACATATTTTAATTATGGCAGAAGTATGTAATATACTTTTTGATATTTATGAGAAGCTAATTGTAATAGTTTTGTAAACAATGCAATTAAAAAGGATTTACTTCAACAACTACAACTCAAATCTTCGCATATTATTTTATGCCATTCTATTAAACTGATTTGCACTACATTGCGTATGAGTAACTTTCGTTTGTCAAGGCAGCTACATGGTCATTCTTTGCTGTTGAGGTTAAGAAATGAAACAAGTAGTCACTAAGTAAAACTCAAGTAAATGTCATAAACACTGCAAAACAGTATCGTATTACTTTGCATATCTTATATATTCACTTATATGTTGATATGACAATGTATTCGACGTTTTGCTCCTTTAGTAAATACACAAGCACGAGAAGGAATCAAATGCAGTAATATATGTGTATGAATTGTTGTTCTTTAAGGCACTTATAACTTTCTGTCTGTCATTATAAGTAAGAGTGATGAATGAGTGGCAATGATTAAAGATGCATTTATCTTAGTTTCATAAAATTACAATTACTGACAAAACAACAATACCATAAAACTGTTTTATATGGCAAAAGTTATTTCATCTGAAATGCAAAAATAAATGAAACTTGTAAAAACTTTAGCAAGTAATTTTTTTTAACTTAAGTTGATTTATTATGTAAAATACAAAAATGATATAATGCCATTTAATGAGCTTAAAAAGATTATTAAAATGTAGATTAAAATTGTTTCAATAAAAATACCACAATCATTAATTACTCATGAGATACTTTATGCAAAGAGAAGTAATTATAAAAAAAATTCTTGTGATTTAAAAGCCTTACCGATTTTCATAATTGCAACATAATTTTAATTGAAATATACTCCAAACTTATGCACAAAATGCTGTTTAATATTTATGAGCTTTCATTTAACAGCCTTGACAGACGATAAGTCGCGCTGTACCTGCAGAATATATTAAAAGTTGTAAGCTCGTTTAAAATTTAACAATCCGCAATTAAAATACGAATTTATGTTTCAAGCTAAAAGTTGTCACTTGGCGTTTTGTCCTTAACGTGCAACTACGGCCACAGGCATTAGCACAAATCTGCATATTTCAACTGCAGTTCCAGCGTTTTTATCTTTTTCTTAAGCCACACTTGAGCTACATTTTTTACTGCTCCTCCTCTGGTATATGTTATTTAATGCTTAATTTATGCAAAGGGAATTTTACTAATTGGATGAAATAATTTTTTTACATATTTTCAATTAGGCAAAAGAGTCTGTTTTTTTCTTCTTAAATTGAAGATTAAGAAATTTTTTATTACAAAATTTTGTTAAGGTTTTCTTACTTAACCAAGTAATTTGCATGTTAATTTGTGTAGATCTAAATATGTTGAGATGCCGTCATTACTTATAAGATTTTTGTGTATATTTTCAACATTAAAACCGCGTAGCATTTTAATTTAATCAAATTGCGAATTTATACCTTCACATTACTGACCCAAACATGCGATGTTAGCATAATAAATTCCTATTTTATGGGAACTTATTTAAAAATTCATGATAAGCGCTTGAATTATGGCCGAAATTTAATGGATTGACTAGAAATTTATTTGAGCAAAGTCGTTTTCAAGAATTTATGCCAAACATTAATCATTGCGGCAGTTGTAATTAAACAATAAAAAAAATGTATTAAAAATTGTAATAAGAAGGACATAAAAGATTGAAAGCATTAGTACGTAAAATCAAGTTGAAGATATTAAAATCCGCTTAATTAAAAATTTTTACAAAATTCGAAGAAATTATTTTTTTATTAAATCATTTTGTTTTACTTATAAGAAGTTTAGAGGAAGGTCCACTTATGCATTAATGCCAAAAAATAGTACAACCTATATTTTTTTTTCTCAGTTTACATATTTGATATTGTCTTCTCTCACTCTCTCTACATTTGTAGACTCATATAATTCTATATATTTTCTTACGTCAGTTCAGATGTATTTATTTATAACCATTCCAATGTTTACAAATTTCTCATTCTCAACGTGAATAAATTAATTTTAAAAATTGACTAGTCCTAAAACTAGATCCGTTATACTCAATCTTTGGGATCTTTGGGAAGAATGGTGATCCTCTAATAGATGGTATATAGCGGGATATTCTATCAAAAATCAACTAAAAGAAAAAGAAAATATTGTTTCACAAAACAGCAATTTTGTCCGGTTTTATTAAGTCAAAATATACTCCCGTATAAGAGTGATATGCACTACGATTATCTAAATAAATTCAAAATAATTTTTCGGTGTCATTTAAACAAAAGATACACCCACTTGACATATGTTTCAAGAGTATATAATTAGTATATTATCATTCGACTGAAATCTCCGAATTTCTGCTTAAATATATAGCTACTCAAAATGCTTGAATTTCGTTGCACAAAAAGAAAATTCATATGTAATCGTAAAAGAAAAACGATCTTAAATGAACTTAAGAAATATTCTATAAACTTAAAAGTTGAGAATGAAGAAAAAATATTTTATAACTTTTATCTTTTAATATAAATTTAATGCTACTGTAATCTCCTTCGATTCAAATTTAAAAGATACTATAGAAAATGTAGCGATATCATTAAATATTCTGAATATAACTAAGAAATTTTCTATGCCTATTAATGTATTACCCTTAGATATAGAAAAATTTCATTTACTATGTAATAGTGTTATATGTTTATAAGCAAGTAGTATACTAAAACAGTTATCTTTATATAAATATTTTTATTAAGACTATTTTTAAATAAAAATTTGCAATATCAACTATGAAAACGTATACATTAATTTCCATAATAGCTTTACTAAGTCCTGTTCCCATTTAAAAAATATTTTTTTTAATTGTATTGCATTTATATAAGAAAAATAATCTTACGTGATCTAACTTTAATCTAAATATTATAGTAGTTCAAATGAAATGCTTGTACTGCAAAGCTATATTTAATCCAACTTCGTTAAGTTGCTTGTTTAACCACTTGAAACTAATTTCCCCTTTATTTCTCGCTTAAAGTATTATATCTTGCAGTTCATGACTTAACCCAGAGTACAGAGTACATAAAACATAAAACCCATTTTAAGTAAAAACCGCAGAGTTTTTTTTTTTCTGAGCAAAAATCAGTGTCAAAATAATAAAACTTTTCCCACAACTCACGCGAAAACAAAAACTTTTCTGATTTTCATTTCCTCAGTTTATTTTTTATTTTTTGCATTTTTGCGTTTTTGTACTCCTCTATATTTCTTCGTTATTTTCTGCAACATTTTCCCGACTTCTCTTCCTCCGGCAACATTTGTATTGTATATACTTTTTATGTAATTTTCCGAGTGGTTCAGAGAAGTACGAAACTTTTTTGTTGCAACGTTTCACACAATTAACGCGCTCGCAGCTTTATTAAATGTTGACAATAAGCAAATGTACACAAAACTTGCTGCAGTTAAACGTGCAAAAAATTAGTTTGTAACATTAATGCTAAAAAAACAAAAACAACGATTTAACATTTCTATTTGTTTATTTACTATTTTGGTTTTTGTTTTTGATTTATAGAAATATCATAGAGAAAACTCAATAAACTTTTGCTGGAAGTTAACATTTAGGATTGCATTTTGATGACTTCATTTCGTACTACATAGTTTATTACAATTCATTATTTCATAATATAATACAAATAAATAAATATTTAATATAATAAATAAATAACATATAATTTTAATTATAATAAATTATAAAAATTTCCATATTGGAAACGTTTCTAAAACATAATAATGTAGAATGTGGCATAAAGAGCTTATTAGGAAAATTGCACACTTATTACCTCAGTGTTCAAAACCTATTTTCAAGACATGTATTTTTGTTAAAAACAAAAAAACAATAAAACCTCTCCAATTTCACCTATAAATACTGGCTTCCTTCATATTTATACTTCAGATATTAACAAATATTTCAGATAATCTTACAAAACAACGTCTTGCCACTACAGACACCTCCACAAAGTATATATCGCGCTAAACAAACACCTTATCAATTCATATACTCCTACAAATAAACGCATTTTTATGTCTAGAATAAATATCAAGTCCTGAAATCACACTGGATTAATTTTTGAGAATTAATTCAGGGAACTTATTTTTCGATATTCTTACAAAAAATACAAAAAATAATCGCATTTTTATTTATAGAATTAATATAATGCGCTGAAGTCACACTGGATTGATTTTTAAGAATTAATTCAAAGAAATTATTTTTTAATATTTGTGTACCAAAACATCGTGCCCCTTTAGATACCCCCATAAAAAAACGTCTTGTTTATATACATTTGGCTTTAGGTTCTGAAGCCACACTTAAGCAATTCTAGTGGTTAATTTTAATAATTTTTATAAAAAATTAATTATTTTTTTGCTCTATTGTCTATTTATTAAAAACTTAAAGTTAAAAAAATAACGAAGCGATAAATATGTTGGTCAACACCTTTTCGATACGTTTAAAAATCATTCAAAGTTTCAGTTTTTCAGTATATATTTATATTATAGTATGTACTTTTTATTAATTAAGGCAATTCACTAATAGTAATATTGTTATAAATAAGAAATGTTTTATTAATAATTTAATTTCTTTAATAAGTTATTTTCAGATAACATAGTATGTTTGGCAATTTATTCTTTAGTAATGGGTTTTTAGCACGATTTCCATTTCGAATTAGCACTTTTTTAGCTTTAATATAATTTTTTAATTTAGCAAAGTGACGTTAATATACTTTTTATAAAAAAGAACATTTATTTTACTAAAATTGGTATTGAAATTATAACTTTAAACATTTTTCTTCCATACATTATTTTAAAAAAATTTCATTTGTATTTTAACTTTTTAAATTTAATATATTTATTGCTAAATAATTTCTTGCAATTCAGTTAAATATTTAAATAACAAACAAATATATATACACACCAAATAATTATGCAAAAACCAACAATAAATAAAAAAATATATATATTTAAATAAAGTATATATGCTTTTCCCTCTTTTTCTATATATGGTCTTTTTTTTTTAAACTATTGCTAATATTGAATAACTTCACCTAAAAACTTATTATTTTACTACTTTAACTATATATGCATTCAACATAAATAAAAAAAAAATATTTAAAAAAAAGAGTGATATGTTGACTGCAAATATACAACTATTTATATATGCGTATATAATTTTGTATGTATTATATGCCAATTTATGTGCCAATTGTATACAAATACCTTTGTATATTATAATTAGAACAATACATACTTCTACTAACACACACTTTTATATATGAAGATACTATTGTAGTCTATCCTACAATAACACGCTTATTTATTGCTGTTTCCATTACTCAATTTCTTTTTACAGAACTGAAAAATCAAATAGAAACGCAAGTAAATGAGCTAAAAACTCAAATAGAGGGAAAATGTGTCATGCAGTGATATGTCATCATATAATTATATAAAATGTTATAAATCAATAATAAAAAAAGTATATAACATTAAAATGAATTTAATAAATAAATTGATAATAAATAATTAAATTGAAACAATAAAATAAATAATTAAATTAAATAAAAAAAATACAATAACTCATATATTTAATAACAAAAATATGGCAAGGAATTTTAATAAAAACATAAAGACGGAAAATTAAATGAATCGGGCAAGCTACACTAACAAAAAACAAAAAGCAGTAATAAATTATTATTATATATTATAAGAAAATATATAACAAAATATATAAACAATAAAAATTTAAAATAATCCATATACGGGCGTATATAAAAGGCAGTTTATAGTCAACATTAACATATATACAAACAAATACAAAAAAATATATATACCAAAAGAGCAACACTCTACCAATAACTAAAAGAAATACGTATATATATATAACAACATATGTATATAGTGGTCTATTAGTATTAAAACAACAAAAGTAATATAAAATTTATACGTGAAGCAGCACTACAAACATTCAAGTAACATCCGTTTCCGTTTAAAAAAATAAATTGACTTAATTTGAAACTAATAACAAGAACAAGAAAAACACATCTATAAAATCATACTCTCTCTCTATGACAACTTCACGACAACTGCAGAAACAATCACTACAAAACCACAAATTCGCAAAACTACAAAATTTCTACAATAACTGCAACACTACAAAACTACAACACACACAGTCCTTCAAGCGTTGGATACAAGCGCTGGCCACAACATAAATTTAATGAAGCTTTTGTCGCAAGCTTTTGTAGTGTTGTAAGTGCAACACAACAACACTACAAAACTACAAAACACATTATCCTCCTCCAAGCGTCGGATACGTATTAAAGCAAGCGCTGGCCACAAAATAAACAAATAATGAAAAGCTTTTATCGCAAGCGTACTCTTAGAGCTTTAATTCGGCCCCCTACATCGCTGTCGCTGTAGCTGTTCCGTATACTCAAGTAGTAAGCCGCAAACAAAACTCAAGATACTAGATAACTGAATTATCGTAATGCTGACGCACTGCGTATCTACGTTAAATTAACGTAAAATGCCTTTCAAATATATTATAATAAAAGATTTATAAAAAAAAACATTACAATATATATAAAAAAAGAATATATATATATACATATAAAATCTAAATACTAAGAATAAAAACAAAAACAACAAATGATTATGGAGCGTAAATAACTCAAAATAAATTGTTATGAAAACTTGTTTTAGACTTAAACTAGCTGAAAAAACTGTTTTTTAGGATGTCAA